CATATAGCTGCCTCCGATTTCCTCTTCTATGGCTCCATTTACTATCCCTGAAAGTTTCCAAAGTTCCTTTCTTTGGCCACTACTTCCCTATGTGTGGTGTCTTCCCTTATTAAAATATAAGCTCCTTAAGGACAGAGACTGACTTCACTTTTGCATTTGTATCCCTAGGGCTTAGCATGTACTAAACACTTCAAAGTTGGTATTCTTTCATTTATCATGCCCCTGCTTCCTACCTTTTAATGAACTTGTTTCAAGGATGTGCTCAGTGAACTTACAGAAGATGAGCTAGTATCCTCATACTTTTATTCAAGTACAAAAAGCTATTTTGTAGTTGATTTAAATTAGGTACAAAATTTAATGGATTTTATCCATTGATGCAAAAGTTTGTGGAGCACTGAAAATATCAGGATATCTACTTGTTCCAATCTCATATCAAAAATGGAGAGAGAGAGAGAGAGGGAGGGAAAGAGGGAGAGAGAGAGAGAGAAGGAGGGAGGGAGGGAGGGAGAGAGAGAGAGAAAGAGGGAGGGAGGAAGGGAGGGAGAGAGAGAGAGAGAGAGAGAGAGAGAAAAAGGTACCTGACCCCATTAAAAAAAGTAAAAACAAGGTAACAATAATAACTGGTATTTGTGCAATAGGATTTGTGAAACACATTACATATATTCTCTCATTTAACCTCTATAAAAAAAAACTTGTGAATTAGAAACTAAAGGTATTATTTAGCCTTATTATACAGATAAAGAAACTGAGGCTCAGAAAGATTGAGTGACATCCCATGTGAAATCAACAAGCACTTATTTAGCACCTACTGGTACCATGCGGTAAGCACTGGGAATACAAAGAAAAGCAAAAACAGTCCCTGATCTCAAGAAGCTCACAGCGTCTCTCTGGGCAAGACAACATGAAAACAACTCTGAGCAAACAAGATATATACAGAATAAATTGGCCATGATCAACAAAGGGAAGGCATTAGAATAAGAGGGACCACGAAAGGCTTTTTGCAAAAAGCAGGATTTTAGTTAAGACTAGAAGGAAGTCAGGAGGCAGGGATAAGGAGGGACAACATTGCAGTTCTGTGGGGACAGCTTGTGAATATGCATAGAATTGAGAGATGGAGTCTTGAACAGGAGCAGCAGCATAGAGGCCAGTGTCAGTCCCCAAAGTATTGTAGCCACATTTCCTCTACATCTCTTGGATTTGCATCCTTCTCTCTACTTGCACGAATAGAGCCCTGGTCCTGTTTGTTTAAACCTTTACAACCTCTTGCCTGGCCTGTTGCCATAGCCTTCTAATTGGTTTTCCTGTGCCAAGTCTCTCCCACCTCCAATGCATTCTCCCTTTGCATTGGCTGGCCTCTATGCCACATTCTTTGTGAAGCTTTTCCTAATCTCCTCAACTGCTAGTGGCTTACTCTTAAAATTATCTTGCATTTATTTTGTACATATCTATATATGTACATGTTGTCTCACCCAGATAAACGGTAAGCTCCTTAAAGGGAGGTACTACTTCACCTTCCTCTTTGTATCCTTAGCACCTAGCACAATGCACAGTGAGCAGTAGGTGCTGAATAAATGCTTCTTCATTGACTGGAGGTAAGAACTGTACCTAACCAAAAAGACTGTGATTTATTTGTATTTGTTCATTTGACCATTTTTGGTCAGTTAGGGAATTTTTTTTTTCAAATGTGAGAAGATTCCTTTCAAATGGTAGTCAGGTGCCTAAGCAGAGTCATTTTGTATCTTGAAAGACAGGCCTCTGTGAAATAAACCTTAATAAACCAGAAGATCAGGACATTTTCTGTCTGGCAACCACCACAGATGTAGATTGGCACATTGGAGAAGGCACACTGGTCCTGGTTAACCATAGGGTTGATATAGAATGGCTTGGCTTACCTGAAACTGCAGAATGTTCCTAGAGGACAGTTTCCTTTTAATGCATTTCAGAGGCAGTAAATTTAGCTCCTGCTGAGAGCAGGAGTAATTGCTTTACACAAGGAAAAAAAGTTCTTTAAAAGGCTTAATTCCTTTCACAGGAATGTGCTTTCTGATGACCCTTTGAGTTTTAAAGATGGGAAATTCTTGCTAAAGAGGAAAACAAATATACTTGAGTACAAATGAGGCTGTTCTTGGGGTAACTGACCCCATGTACTCTGGTATCTGCTGCTACATGTTTTGTGACAAGACCTATTGCACAGGCCAGTCCTATCATGGTATTCTCTAACCTTCAGATATATTGCCAAAGGGAAAATTATCTTGGCTCAGGAATTGTCAATCCAGTGCCAGAGACCTCGGAATCCCAGGAGTCCTGCCAATGACTAATGACAGTTTTGGTTTAGGTTGTCCTTGGTTTAAATCCTTAAGGCACATCCCACCCCTACCACCGCCCCCAATCCCACACATTACCATAAGTATTAGGATGCCTATGTCTTCCTGTTCATACTTACACCTATAATACCTATGACTCCGTTGCAAGAGCCAAAAGCCTCTTCTTTAGGTTTATTCATAGTTTGGTTTCCACATTTTCCATGTATAAGGCTGTCTTCTTTCCCCTAGGTTTATTGTGTGGACCATAACTTGAAAAGAGCGCTTTGCTACTCTAAGTAGCAGGGAAATAGAACTGATGTTTATCTAGTTCTACAAAGATTATAATATTCTCTAGAGACACTATCTCATCTTTTAAGTCTTAAAATAATCCTTTATAGATGAAGAAGTGGGGTGAGAGAGGTTAAGTGACTTGCCAGTGGTCCCAGAGCTAGTAAGTGTCAGAGGAATTTAGGTCTTACGCCAAGTCCAGTACTTCATTCACTATGCCGTTGTTCAGTGTACCTGACTGTGGTACTCAGTTACTTTTCCAATTTGGTTTAAATGAAATTAAGCTTCTATTATGGGAAAACTTTAATGAACTGATGCAGAGTGAAATAACCAGATGCAGGAAAACAATATAGGAAGGAACCTCTGCCCTATGCTCGTGTTTTCCCCCCCTTTTCTAACACAACTTTGTGGGGACAGTTAGGAGGCAATAACTAGGATGTTGAGGACATGAAAAGAGAAGGTCCCAGGATGATTCCTTGCATGAAACAAGTGAGACAAACTGTCGGTGGCTGTTACTGCATCTTCTCCCCTCCTCCCACTGTGGTATTTTCCTGATTTTGCTTCAAGGTAGCCCCCTTTCAACTTTTGGTCTTAGAATCATTTCTTGACTTCCTGTTTGTTCTCTGGATCAGTTATCTTTATGTGGTCCTGGTTTTAGAGTTTGGCTCATTGTTCACTCCTTATATAGTGGTGTGTTTGCTCTGTACAATGATATCTCTGATTTCCACCACAAATAGCCCATTACTGTCTTAACAGACAGATGAATTAATGACCCATTCAAGCCCTATAATGTTCTGAATACATGGTACAATGGATTTGGAGTCAGAGGGCATGGGTTCAAATCCTTAACTCTACTACTCACGACCTTAGAAAAGTCACTTCATCTCTCTAAGCATCAGTTTTCCTCATCTATAAAATGAAGGGGTTGGACTTGATAAATTCTAAGGTCCTTTCCTACTCTAAAGCTATGAACTTACGATTATCCCAGAGTTTTTGATCACTTACCAACACAAGCTTGAGTGCTCTGTGTACAGAAAAATCATTCTTGTGACAAATCACTCATCTGATAGTTTTTTGACTGAGATTTTTTTCTCTTCCCCATGAATTTTCTCAATATTTTGCCCATTATTGTTTTCACTGATTATTCTAATAGCACAAAGTTACCTTTTGCTTCCATTCTATTTTGTGGGGAATGTGTTTTGTGATCTTTGTGTCTCTTCTATAGCTTCCTAGGTTTGAAATCTTCCCTGGGCTAAAGAATGCTAAGAAGAGATTGACTGATTTTCATGGGATTAAAAAATTTTATCCTGAGTTATCATAGAGAGGGAGAGGATTATAAAGCTTTGTCAGGAACTGTTTGGGAGTTGGCAGCAATTTAATTTCCTGCCCCTAAGTCCTTGTGACTGCCCCAGAAATTCCCCAGTGTTTTGGTAACAATCCCATGGAGCCCTTGAGAAAATTAGACTGGTGATTGCTCTATTCATGAATAGATGGGGTCATTTAAAATTACCTTCTCCTGTTAGCCTCATGCTAGAATCATACTCCTAAAATACAGTAGATTTTCAAAGTCTTCTTCTAGTAAAAAAACAAAAATCTCTTTATAAAAAGAGAATTCCTTCCATCATCCTGTCTTCATCATCACCTCCTCCTCACAAGAAACTCCACCCCTGGAGGCACCCTGGGCTCTGATAGGTGAACTTTCACCGTATCTTGTCTAGGCCACCATCTCACTCTTGTCCTGTCTGCACCCTCCCCCATTCCTTATCCCCATTTTCTAGCTTCTCTTCATGTGTTGTCTTCCTTTATTAGTATGTAAGTTCCTTGAGGTCAGGGACCTTCATTTTTTCTTTCTTTGTGTCTCTAGTTCTTAGTAAAGTGCCTGGCACATAGTAAATGCTTAATAAATGCTGTATCTAGCTTGCTATAATCTTTCATTTATCTGTCTCACTTTATTGCCACTTGATTGAACATCTTTTGAAATTCTATTTGAAACAGAATAGCAGGACTTGTCAGAGATCCCTGCTGGACTAGACACTATCTTTCATGGTTATATGTCTCATCTCATCAAACATGTTGTAAGTTCTTTGGGGGCAGTGATAACCTCACCACCCTCAATCCTGGAAACATTGAAAGAACTCAATTTTGAAATGAATTGAGTAATTGGGAGAAAGAATCTCGAAGAAACTGCTAGGAAAAGAATAGTTTACTTCAGATGGAAAATGCTCAGGATTGTGGAGGCCTCCTCTTAGTTCCTGTGGGGAAAACACATGGCAAAATGCAAAATGGGTTAATATTGTAAAACAAACAACATTACATGATAAATCAGTAGCCACCTAGCTGCCTCTGATGCTTGGAGCAAGGCTGGCAATGATTTGCTGATAATATCTTTTTTTTATTATTGTTCTGTAGCCTCAAATTATACAGCAGACTCTCAAGAGGACACTTCAGTATTATGAGCATCAAGTTATTGGGTAAGTAAAAAGGATTTTGGTGATTATCGGGGGGTAAATTAGAGGTAAATTGCTCACTAATTGTTGAGCAAATGGTTTTCTGCCATCTAGCCCTTTTCCTGAGTGATGTGGCCCACTTTCTATCTCAGTTTCTTGATATACCTATTTGGTATAGCCAGCTATTATGGGCAGTAGAAGTGAAGTTCTCTAACGATTCCTTGAAGTTATTTCCTGTGACTTGTATTTAATTATTTGAAGAGAAATTTCCCTTAACATTAATTTTCCATCTGTCACATGTACCCCTCTCTGTCCTATCTGTTATTATCTAATGTTTCATTCGGTGAGGTATATTAGAATCCCAGTGATGGTCTTTTGATTAGATTTATAATCTGATAATATACAATAATAATAATAACCAGCATTTATGCAGCATTTTAAAGTTTCCAAAATCCTCTACATGTGTTATTTCATTTGCTTCACACAACAATCTTTTTAGATGCTAGTATTAGCCCCACTTTACAGATGAGGAAGCTGAAGCTGAGAGAAATTAAGTCACTTGCCCAGAGTCACATAATTAGCAAGTGTCTGAGACTATACTTGAGCACACATCTTCCTGACTCCAAATCTAGCACCCTTTCCATGGCATAATGCTTCTCAATTGAAAACCACACAGGGACCTACCTCAGTCCTCTTAGATGAGAGTGACTCAGCTAACATCATTTTTCTTATATTATTTTCTTTTTTGTTTTAGTTTACCCCCTCATTTTTCGAGAATGTTCACAGTATAGATTATTAATTCTTCCTAATGGATCAGAAACTCAATCAGAAACTCCAGACATTAGAGGTAACTGGGAAATGCAAAGCAGTTCTGAACTGTTCTTGCTCATCTGTCATAGCTTTTTACATTATATATATATATATATATATATATATATATATATATATATACACATACATATATATATTATATCTTATATATATACATATATATATATATATACACATGCACACACACATATTTATAATTCATACTACAATTCAGAATCTATATTCCCACAGAGAAAATTTCTTATGAGATTAAAAAAAAACTATTTGGTGGTAGTGTGTGTGGGAAGGTCCAAATTGAGAATGAGCCCACTCTCTGTTTTCTGAGGTTTGTAGCAAAGAACTTGGGAAAAGTCATTGTGGTTGGGATAAAAAATATTATTTTCCTGGCTTTTAGGGAATGGCAAAATTTACTAAAGAGCATATGGGAAGAAAACTTCTGGAAAAAAAATAATCAAGACAATGCCAGTGACCCCATGGACATGCTCTATAAGGATTTAATGATCATGTTAGTTTTCATTACAGAAGGGAATTTTTTTGGGAAGTTGCCATATCAGTCCTTTAGAGTCAGATACAGCTGGAGAAATGGCATAGTGAAATTGTTAGTTTGGACCATTAGATATTTTAAATTGTATTTATATTAATCAGGTCATAGATCCATTAGGCTTCACTATTAAAAATAAATAGTATGTCAAAATTAATTCCCCCCTCATATTCCAAAATAAACTTGATCCCTCGTATCAAACTAACTACTTAAAGTATACTCTTCCACCCTTTGTGACAATATTAATACATTAACAATAATTGTTTTCTTAGAAATGATATTGTTCTGTTTATTGTAAAATCCGATACCAGGGAATATTCTAGTTTTTATTTTGTGAGTAGGTCTTCAAGGTAAATTAGATTAGAGAGCTGATAACTTTGATGGCATAGGCAGCTAACCTGTATTATTTTAATTCAGGCCAAGACCTTTTCTTCAATAGAAAGTTTATCGAACATTGAATCAACTCTTCAGCTCATTTTAGTGTCTGTGTAAATGTAACATGTGGCCAAATCCCAACACTTGCTACCTGTATGATGCTGAACAAGTCATTTCATCTCTCTGGGCCTTTTTTCCCCCATCTGTAAAATGAGATGGTTGGAGTAGATAACTTCTGAAGTTCCTTTCAGCCCTAATTCTATAATTACATGATTTTATGCTGTTATTATTTATACTATAAAATCTTTTACCACCCATTGCCCGTGAAACTCAAAGAAAGCAAACAAAGAACTAAATACAATGCAATATGATTGCAGTTGACTGTGTGGTGACCATTTAAAAAGACCTGAAGCCTTTGGTATCTCTCAGAGAGCATAAGTCTCACTTGCTCCAGGCTATCTCTGCTCTGGTTACTAAGTATACTCCATCTTCCTGCTTACCTTGACCTCTTCTTGCCTTTCTAATTCTGGAAATTTCCATACTGCATGTTTGTACCCTCTATTTGGTTCAGCCAGATCCCATGCATCAACCAATACCTAGAATTTTTTTGTTCGTGACAGTAGAAGGACCTGAGTGAAAATTTGAGCTTGTCTCATAAAACCCATTGCCTGCAGTGGTTTCAAGAATCTATATCTGGCGTCAAGGTGATTGTAACCCAAGCATCCTGATCAGTAGCTATGGAAAGCCTGTGAAGTGCTCAGTGGAGATGTGTATGCTGAATTCAATGGCAGTCTCTCTAAAGAGCCATTGCTTACTTCCCTTCCTCCTCCTTTTGTGCCTAAAGTCTGTAGTGACCAGGGTTTTCCTGGTAACTGACCTTGTTTTTTTATCTCCTCTTATTGTCCCTGTTCTCCTCCCCAGTGAGTTTTAGTTTAGGGTTTGACCCTAAACTTGTGTGAGTTAAAATGAGCTATCATGAAGGCCCATTTCTTTATTCATTACTGGTCTGTCTAACTTTTTGTGAAGGCTTCTCTAAATCTCATGCCTGCTTTTAAAGACTGGGTCACTTGTTAAAAGTGCTCTAACTAGATGTTCTTGCTCGGTTGTATAGGGATGTAGGCCTTAGGATCATAGATATAGAGCTACAAGGGATCACAGAGGTATCTAGTCCAACTGACTCCTTTTATAGATGCAGAAACTGAGGTCCAGGGAGGATACCATGATGGAAGTACTTTTATTCATAACTTCTGTATAATCCTGCAATGCTACTGATAAACAAAGCTAACTTGATAAAATTGCTATATCTGATGCACCTGGTCTCATTTTTATCCCCTCTTTTCCCCTCTGTGACATCCTTCTCATCTCTTCATTACTCACTCTATCCTATTTCTTTCCTACTCAGTTTCCTTCTAGAGCCCAGTGCTTTCAAGTTTTTTTTAATCCCCTTTCCCATTAATGCAAGAAACTGTCTGAAAGCATCATTTATGTTTTGGAACTCATTTATGCCAAAATGTTAATAATCTGAGATATATTTATTTTAAGTCTTTTACCTCTATTGTGGCATATAAACTTAGTTAAAAGAGGCAGTATAGCCTTATAGGGAATATATATACAGAATATATAGAAAAGCATATATTTACTTTTCTGAAAAGAACAAGTTAGACAAGCATTTCATATCAAGAAGATAACACATACCTTTAGAAATTATTAATAACTAATAATTATTAGTTTATTAACAAATGTGTTAAGTAATTTATAAATTATTAAGATCTATTATTAGTAATTATTAATGACATTCCTAAATCACTCTGACATTTACAATACAATTTCTCCTAAACCCTGTGAAATAGATAGGGCATGTATTAATATCTCCATTTTACAGGAGAGGAATCAAAACTCAAAGGAGTTATGTGACCTTCTCAAGGTTACACAGATAATGAGTCAGAACTGGTATGTTAACCGAAGTCTTTTGACTCCAGATTTGTTATTTTTTTCAACACAGCACATTAACTGATATCAAAACATTGCCCCTATGTCCTCTTGCCATTCATGTCTTGCCAGATCCCAATGCTGGATCCCTACCACCATCTATTTCCTCTAATCCTACTCACATGCTACTCAACAGAATTGGAAGAAGTCATACAACTGTACTAACTGGGTCCACCATAAATTTATGTTCTCTAATTTCAACTGGGGTCTCACAAGGCAATCCATTTATTCCTCTGTAATTGGTTCTTTTTCTCCATATAGCAGCTATTCTAAATCTTTTCTTCTTTCCTCAAGCCTCCCATAGCTACTCTTCCTGAACCTCTCATCTGAGGATCTTAACTCCTAATTTACTAAAACTTAGAGACTATTCTTCCTTCTTTAGTCCAAAGCTAACATTCCTTCTTTTTCCTTTCTTCTGACACTTCCTTGGAATCATTCTCTATTCTTTAGTCCAACCTCTCATTAAGAGATTGCACATCTTGCTAAGGTTAAGGTCAACATACTCTATGAGTACCCTTGATCCTCCTGTTTTCTATAGCAGATAGCTCCCTTAATTATTTCCTCCATCTCTAAAGTTCAGTCTCTTCCACTTACTAATTCCTTTCCAATAGCCCATAATCACATTTGAGTTTTCTCTATCCTTCAAAAATCCTCAGTAGACCCTACTATCCCTTCAAGCTGTCATCTCAGCAAAACTTGTGGGGAAAATAAAAACTGTCTGCCCTTACTGCTTCCACTTTCTCTCCTCTCATTCACTTCTTTGCAATCTGTTTACATTTGATTGAAACTTTTTCCCTAGTTACAAATGATCTCTTATTTGCTAAATCTGGCAGTCTTTTCTTAATTCTCATCTTTTTTGACGTCTCTGTAGTAATATTGTTAACCACCCATTTCACCTAAATATTGTGTGGTGTTTTTTTTTTTTTGTGATGCTGCCCTCTTTATTCTTTTCCTATCCATCTGACCACTCCATATTGGTCTCCTTCATTCATTCACCCTCATTATACCCCCTTACTATATTTATACCTCAAGAATCTGTCCTTGGCCCTCTTTTCTTCTTTCTCTAATCTATCTCACTTGGTTACCTTATCTTCAGCCTTAGAGCATCTCCTGAGCTCCAGGTTCACATCACAAATGGTCTGTTAGACACTTCAAACTAGAGGTCCTGAAGTCATGTCAGACTCAACACATCTAAAATTGAATTCATTATCTTTTCATCTAAATAAGGGTAACAGAGAGAGAAGAAACAGCAAGGCCATATGTTCACTGGACACATGGAGGCCTGGGT